TATTTTAGTGTCAATGTATTTAGCTTAACAGTTAGCTAATTGAGGACACTTTCCTACGTACTGGCACACTAAAATTAATGATTTTACCTAAAACCTAAAACTATATACAAATGTACACGACTCAAAATTTACACAAGACACAGTAGTTGCTATTATTATATACTGATACAGTGGGTGAAAGGTAACGAAATTAGTTTTCTTTATATTTAAGGATAGTTTATTAGCGCTTAGCCAGTCACAGACATTAAGTAGTTCCACATTTACAACAGATTCAAGTGACTTTAAATTCCCAGCAGCATACAGCAAATTTGTATCGTCAGCAAATAAGTAAAACCCTAGTGTGTTTGAAGGCTTGTAAATGTCATTAATATAAATCAGAAACAATAGAGGACCAAAAACAGAACCCTGTGGCACACCACAAGAGGTTTTCTCTCTTTTAGAAATATGGGAACCGACCTGAGTGATTTGGGTTCTTCCATTTAAGTATGAACAGAACCATTTATTGAATACACCACGAACTCCGTAATGAGACAGCTTATGAAGTAGGATATGATAATGAACTGCATCAAATGCCTTTTGCAGATCGATGAAAACCCCACATGAAAACATGCCCTTGTCCATGCATGTTTCTTTGAATTCTATTTACAATGTCTAACATGGCATGTTCCGTTGAACATCTTTCACGAAAACCATATTGATAGTTGTAAAAGGTATTCTGTTTGTTTGAAAAATTGTTTTAGACGATCATACATAATCTTTTCAAAGATTCTATTGAAGACTGAAAAAAGAGAAATAGGCCGATAATTACTAGGGTCAGTTTCTTTACAAATGGGGATAATTACAGCATGCTTTAATTTAGAGGGGAAGGATCCCCTCTCAACTGAAATGTTTATGAGTCGCTAGAGGTTTAGCTATTATATGCCGCGCACATTTCAACAGACGAGTGGGACAGGACCACAGTCCGTGCGATTTATTAGACGGGGTCCACATTAATTCTAATTCAATTTCGGTTGACAGGCAAGACCGGCTCAAAAACAAACGAGTCATTGAAATTAATTTTGTTGCTTTTTGGAATTCTTGATGCGAGTCTAGGCCCTACATAGGCAAAGTTACCGTTTAAGATATTTACGTGATCAAGTGGGTCTTGAGATAGTTGATCATCATCAAGCCTAATTGAGCCAACTGACTTTCGATTTTTCTTTTTCCTATTAATAAGACTGTTAATGCCATCCCATATTCTTTTAGTATTGTTAATATTGTCTTCAAAATAACTGTGATAGCTGTAACATAATCTTAAATATTAATATAGCTGTTTATTCATATCAATGTCTCGATTTAACGATTCAACAGAGTTTACTTTACAATTCTCTTCCTTACTCTTCTGTAGGCAAAAGAAATATAAAAGGGTTGCTCGATCAGTTTTACCTTCTCGGTTTCCTTTACAAATAGGACTTCATTTTTCGTTTTGGGGTCTTAAAGGGGCTATGTCACGCTATGCGTGCCGTGCTATGTTACGCTATTTGCTACCTTTTCAAAAAGCTAAAACTTTTTTCGCATCAATTGAATTCCAAACCTAATGGTCCAGTTTCATTATTTACGACTGTTTTTAGGCATTCAGTGAAGTCATTGCCTGCCGTCAGTTGCAACGGATGGCAACTATGGACATGGATTAAATCTTGAAAAAGCTTGGCCAAGCTTTTCAAGTTTTAATGCTAGGCCTGCAAAAATCACCAAAAAGGGAAATAAATATGGTTAGTGCTACCTAATGATATTTGTTCTTTCTTCACTCCCAAGTCTTTGGAAAAGGGCCAACATCTCACCTGTGCACATGAGTGGTGACAAAGAGCAGGTTACCAATTACCGGTCTATTTCACTTCTATCCATCCCAGCAAAGTTTTTGGAAAGGATTGTTCATTCTCCGATTTATGATCATGTGGCACCTTCCCTATCTGATTAACAACACGGGTTCATTAAAGGAAGATCTTGTGTAACCCAACTTGTCCTAACCTACCATCAATGAGTCAAGTGCTTGGTCGGCAGACCGATGTTGTGTTTCTCGATTTCGCTAAAGCGTTTGATCGAGTACCTGATGACATTCTTCTTCAGAAATTATTTAATTTTGGCATGAGTTGTTTCCTCCTAAACTGGTGTGCAAACTACTTGTCTGATCGTTATCAGAGAGTCGTCATTGATGACCAGCACTCTTCCTGGTCTAATGTTACATCTAGAGTTCCCCAAGGATTTATCTAGGGCCCACTCTTTTTTGTCATTTTCATCAGTGATCTCCCTGATGTCGTCTATCCTGGTAATACCATTGCCCTTTATGCTACAAAAACTACAAAACTTCGAGGATAATTGACAATTCTCAAGGTCGCGCATTGTTTTAAGAAGGCCTTAATAATCTTTGGTCTTGGAGTAAATTGAACAGAATGGATTTTAACATCAAGAAATGCAAAGTAATGAGAATATCTAAAAAAGCGCAAGCAGTAGAGACAACAACAACAACATAAGCTTTATTTGCATGACTATAATTATGTAGTTACAGTATTGCAAAAGCTTTAACATAAAAAAAACAAACAAACAAACAAACAAATCATAACAATGATAATGCAATGCAATAATTACTATAGTCAATCAAGTGTCATCAGCATGATTTGATAACAAATTATTACGTAAATCATTACATAATGAGACAAATTTCAACAAATGTGAATTTACGGAAAAATTCTGTGAATTCATCAATTTAATTATTAATTCTGTGTAAGATAGCTGATTAAAGTCGACAAAATTTTGTTGGATTTGATTGTAGAATTTCTCCCTTGGGATTGAGTATTTTGGACAATGAAAGAGAAAATGAAATTCGTCTTCAATTATACCAGAGTTACAAATAGGGCAGAATCTATCGTTGCGGGAAGTTTGATTATATCTTCCAGTTTCAATCATGAGTTTGTGGTCACTAAATCTTTCCTATTAGCAGAATTTCTAATTAAGTCTAGATAACTTGAAATTTTATAATCATGTTTAAATAAGCTGTAAAATTGTAGTTTCTTAGAATGATGGATTGTATGTTGCCAATATGCAATATATTTTTGTTTTATTATATCTATATAGTGTTTGATCTTAGCTTCACTTAAATTATTAGGATCAAAATCAGGGAGGTCATAATATTCAGATATTTTCATAAGATTATGGTAAAAGCTATTTTTACCATTACAGTGAAGTTCTAGCGAAGTACGAAAGGCTTGTTTAACAATAGTATCCTCGTTTTTACGCAGAAGATAAAAAATGTAATAAAGGATGTTTTTATAAATATTAATAATTAATGGCAACCGTCCTAATTCACTTCTACTTGCAACATTTGAAGCTTTATTGCTTATTTCTAGGTAACGCTTGCAAAACTTCAAGTGGGTTTTTTCAATTGGGGTATTGTCCCAAGCTTTAAAATCATGTTTTACATATACACCCCAAATTTAGCTATTATATAATAATATTGGGGAAATCATCGTTTCAAATATTTTGCAAGCAAGAGAAGGTTTTAATTTGCTAAAGTTTGTGTGTTTTCTTAAACTAAAAAGAACATGCAGAGCCTTCTCTTTCAAGTGTTCGAGTGAGATATTAAAATTACCGGTTGAGTAGAGACTGATCTCTGTATGAATGAAACTCCTCGAGGTGGTCTCCGAATTTAAGGACTTGGGTCTGCTCGTTGATAGTAACTTATCTTGGAATATCCATGAGCATAGTATTGTTTCCAAAGCTAACAAGATGCTGGGCCTAATATCTCGTACCTGTAGGGGATTTGCCGACGTCAAAACTGTTAAGACACTACATTGCTCTTTTATTTTTTATCTCAGTTAGAACATGGCTCTGTTGTATGGTCGCCATACACCCAATAGAATATTGATATGATAGAACATGAGCAGAGAAGAGCCACCAGGCTCATTCTTCAAGTTAGAACCTGTTAGGCTAATAATTAATTTTCATTTTAAGCCCCCTCCACACAAGAACCTATTAAGGCTAAAATTTTAAGTTCGGTTCCTATCAGTGAAACTGGCTGTGAATGTACTGTATTTGTGCCATGATTTTCTTGGTATCATCTTTGAAATGACATTTCAGAGAACTGACTATGAGTTTGTTTGTTATGTTTTGTTAAGGACATACTTGCACTGTACTGCCTTCAGGCATTACTGTATGGTATAAATGATTTATATTGTATTATGAGATGATATTTGTAATATATTTAAATGAAATTCATATGAAAATATAAGAACCTATTTTAAGAACCTTGGTAGTCTTAATTTGCTTTAAGTACCATTTATATAACAACCTGTTAAGGGTAAATTAAAAACTCCAGGTTCCAATACGCGGGGTTTTACTGTAGTAACATTTGTATAGTACAATGCTAGTTACTCAATAGGATAGTGTATTTTATTAGGATGGTGTTTTACATACTAGTATTTCAGTATAATAGTCCTAATTTGAAGACTTTTAAAAGTAATCTGATCAGTATATGAATCTGCGTAAACTGTATGTATTTTTAAAATATTTTTTGGGTTTTATTTTCACTCTTGTTATCCTTACTGATGAATTATTATGTAGTCTATTTTCGGGAGATCTGCCTCATACGGGGTCTCGGACTCTTTTGTGGATCATCCTCATGGCACTATGCTTCCATTCCTTTTTCCTTGTACTTGCAGGTGCTGCCATTAAATTGTGATAAATAAATAAATAAATAACGCTACAGCAGCTTTTTGTGTTTGTGTAAAGGAACAAAGTAATGACTTTACAACAAAATTGATCGAAAACGGCAATAATATCCTGGTGACGTAGCCCCAATAGAATTAATGTTGAGTACTTTGGCTGTGCAGATCAACTGACGGAGCAGGTAACTCAGCTAGGGGTTCCATGCTCTGGAGAAACTCAGCAATATGTTGATCCAACTTTTGCCGGTCACTATCGGTGTACTCTGGCAACTCTATGTTTGCATACCCTGCAAGTTGTCGCCAGCTTTCCTCTGTCATGGCTTTCAGCTCAATACCGGCAGACATCATCATTTGCATCCCTCGGCGAGCATTTTGAATATCGTCTTCAAGAGAAGGCGAAGGACGCATGTCAACTTTGTACAACTGGCAAAGATTTATAATACATTTTATTCCACGTGAAAAGCAATAAAAATTGTAGAAATTGACCAGGTCTTGTGCGCATTCCTTTCTTTTCACTCCAGATATCTTACGGTGGTGTTGATCTTACAGTTGATCGAAAGCAGGGCTGTTTGTTCATGTACATCTCAATTTTTCCCTCTTTCTGATCTCCTAAGAGTTTCACAGCTTTATTGAACTCTTCATCTACAAGCATAAAATACTCTGCATGAATTGTATTTCTCCTTTCACCTTCGAAACAATTCCCATATCTGGCGTGGAATATCAAGCGACGCATTTGGTCAGTCAACCGAACATACACTACGACAGTTGCGGCATAGTCAGCTCTTGGGTTCGAGTGCGGCTTTGCCATCTTCCCAACCCGACATTTCTTCCTTTGCAGGCACTTGAAATTAATTTTGCTTCTCTTTCTCTCCGTGACGTGATAAAACATGGCGCAAAACTGTCCTTTTGTAACTGCCAAAGGATTCTGCCCTCCAACTTTGTGATTGTCTTTGTGGTCATGAACAATACTCGTTTTATCGCACTCTTTTTTAACTTTACATTGCATAGAAGTCCAATCACTTGGTGTAGAAAGCCGTCGATAATCCATCAACTCCACTGTCTTCCAGTCGATAGTAATCATGAAAATAAAGTTTTCAAAAACAGCGAAAATCTGAGAAAGTGGACTCGGTCCAACAGTAAGAGTAAAAGGAGTCAGGTATTTATCTGGCGACGAAAGAGCAGAAAGAGGGCCTCCAGGAGTTTCCATCTGGATTATAGCTTGTGCTTTCTTTTCGTAGCAAATGATACGCACAAGTTGTGGCTCTTCGTTCTTTAAGCTGTATATCTTGATACTGCGGTCACCGACATCTGTGATTAGCAGGTGGTTGTTCAAGGCAAAACAAACGTTGTGTGGTCTTATAAGATTTTGTTTTGTCGTTATATTTACCTACCTTGTATCTTTACTATCCGCTCCATTATGCAGCTCGACTCGGTTTTCACTTCTTTTCACAACTGCTAGTCGTCCTTCATCAGAAATGGCCAACGCTATTTCGCTCATTTCGCCTCGATCACCTATCGTGATTTTCTGAGCTACTGAGTAGAGCGAAGTACTTTTATCAAACCCTTTGTATATAATAAGGTCACGGGCAGCACTATTCGAAAGATTGGAGAAAATTGAAGAGAGTACAAGTATCAAACCAGCCACAAACTGTACTAACAGCAGGTTCGAAAGGTTTGCCTGAACGGTTCAAGACACACTGACATACACAAAAAAACATTCGACTACATATGAATAAATTTTTCATATTTCCTAGAAAAGCTATTGTTTCCGCGAAAACGGTGACGTATTTTTCTAAACATAGTCTCAGCGACACACAAGAGATACGTTACATTTCCTTTCCAGACTGTTCTCAGTGGCTCGTAATGACTAATGTAATGCCATAAGTTTGTTTTAGTTGTGTGATATTGAAACCCTGAGCACTCATTTCTATCATTTCTTCTCTATTCTGTAATGTTACTATCTTTGTATCAGGCCTTGCCTTATACGGTTGTTATGTCTTGGTGACATTTTAGCACAACAGTAGAATGGTCATTCTTGACAGTATCATTCAATACAAGATTTGTTATTGCAGGACATAAAAATGATTAAAAGGACTTCCTTTGAACACGTTTGAACACGACACCGAATCATGCTTTTTAACTGACTTTCTTGGATATACGGCTTTCAGACTTTTCCAAGATAGAAAGAAAGATAAAAAGTGTAAGGTATTAAGGGCCTTTTCACATGAGCCCGGTTACCGGGATTAATTTCGCCGTGAGTTCATTTGAGAAATTTCAGCCCGCGGTTTCCGAGATGAGAAAAGGTCAAATATCCTGAGGACGCGAGTTCTGGCGCCAAATTCGAGAAACAAAGCAAACATGGCGAAACACAAAAATGTTAACTTTCGGGGCCTATCATAGCTTGCAGGGCCGTAGCCAGGAAGAAACTACAACCGAGGCGAACACACGGTCCGTTGTACGAAATCAGCCGTATGAAATCTTCTAATATTATCAGTCTGATAAAAAAAATAAAAATCGACAGTATTTGGTAAAATTTTACCGAGGCGAGTGCCTCGGTTCGCCTCATACTAGGGAACTTAAGATAGAGACGTTTTCGGGGCGACGGCAACTTCAACCGGACGTGACATCATCATTTGTTGGATATTGCGCATGCTCCTGCTCACCACCTTGCCGTCGTGTTCCCGTCGGCGACGTGAAACTGGTCTGTTTGGCGTTGTGGCGAAAACGTGAGTATTTAACTGTCATTTCAATCAGGTTTGTTGCGTTTAGCAACCAACATTTTGCAGATTATCGTTCGTAAATTGTCCTTGTTTTCTTTGAGGCACATTTCAAGCTCGATTTCCAAGCTATGTTCGCTAAACTTACATCTTTGAATGTTTCTATGTTTTCATTTCACAGGGTCAAGATCCAACTTGGCAAACAGCCAACCGTAAGTGAGCTTGACATGGGACAAAATTTTCCCACGAGCCAAATAAAAGTATCCAGACAAAAAATATGAACTCCGATATTTCAATTGTGTGTTTTTAGTTCGCTCTTTTCGTTAGAACATCGTATAAATGAAACGCATTGAAAATTATATAGAATAGTAGGTAATACCATGTACTAACTCGGCGTGGGAATACTGAAATAAAGTTGTTGCCGTTGTTGTTGTTTTTGCATGCAAGTATTTCCCGGGAATTATTTCAATGCCAAACTAAGAATACGGTTCCTTGGTAGCATTTTAATGTTCCTGTAATTTGCAAGGCTTCGAAAACCCTGTGGAGATCATTTTTTTTCAACACGAAATTCTGCCTTGAACTCAGCTGCATCCCGCATGTTTTTTAGCGTGAACGGATCGTAACTGTCCCGAGGAAAATCGGGATTTTTGGACTCATAATTTTTCCACAAAACGAGAAACTCTTCATCCGATACATGTTGTCTGCATAGCAAATATTTATTCTCTTAATTCTTTATGTGAAGCCATATTTTCCTCTTCGGTATTCTTCTAATTAAAGGCGCCGTCCTTCTGAGTTCCCTGCGATCTTAATGTTCTATTTTTGACGGGGAGCGACGGCTGCCTTAGTTCCAGGCTTTCTCTGCCAGTCCGGTCGCCGTCGCCCCGAAAACGTCTCCATCTTAAGTTCCCTACTGGCTACGGCGGTGGCTTGGGTAACTCTTCAAGCTGTATCACTCCTGCAGTTAAATGGGATACTTATGATGTGGAAAATACAGCAGTTAATGCAGGACGATGCCATGCGGACCGCAAGAATTCATCCCACCGTTCATCCCGGTAACCGGGAATTGAAGTGTTCCTATGGAAAAATTTCCGGCCGCTTATACCGAGATCTCGGGAGCCGAGCTGGCCCGCCCTACATTATAATTAAAATTGAATTAATTCTTGTTTACCCACGAAGTACATAGGAGTTAATATGAACTCGTTTAAATGTGTCCGTGCGTCCCTCTCATGAACACATCGAAAATTTTACAAAGGCATGTTTTAGAGCTCAGGCGAGATCTCGGAAACACTGAGGGCCAACCCTGTCAACTGGGCTCATATGAAGAGGCCCTAAAAGTGAATTGAGTGTCCTTTCTTCCTACTACAATCTTACAGACTCACTGACAACTGGACCCCGGAGGGCCTTTCAATACCCGTAAGTACCACTGGATATTTTTGCTACTTTTAGGTTCATCTTTGTTTTTAATTTCATTACTGTCATAATTAACTTCAAGATTTACAATCTTTTTATCGTTGGCCACTTTATTACAATGTTAGATAAAAGTTGTAAAACATGATCGGCATAAAGAAAAGCCCCGAAGGGCTTATGAATTATTTTGATCTTCCTCTTCATCATGATAAAAGTTCAAGATCTTCCTCTTACAATTTCTGTTTTCTTTCTCAAGTTCATCAAGATAATATTATTCTTTATCTCTTCTAAACAATCACCAAATAAATCCATTTCTTCATATTCTATAATTTCTATGTAATTTCTTCCATCCTCTTTTGTTTGTATTTGATCATCGTTAAAATAAAAGCACGGTATTTTCTTTCTTTAATTTTCCTATCCTTATGTTCCTCTGTCAATATTGTTTTATAATTTTCTGGATCATAAAGGTAAAAATCATAATGAGAAAATAGTTCTCTTTTTCTATCTTGTTCTTCAATCACTTTGAGTGGTTAAAAAACGGGAAAAAACCCTGCAAATGATCAATATATATTCAACAAAGTCAAAACAAACTAGCAAATGTTGCCAATAGGAGATTTCCCTTGTAATGTAAAAATATTGAATGTGTTTATAGTAGCGTAAATATGCCGATTCTGGATTAACTCTAAAATACTATTTTCCGTCATTTTCCCGCGTGGCCCCGAAGGGGCTGATGTCATATTCTTTTAAATCTTAGCTATATTCACATTTTTTTATAATTTTATAGTTTTTATGACATATTTACACTACTCCCTTACTAGGGTTAAGGCTGGAGAACTGACGGAGTCGGCTTTATGCCCTGGAGAAACTCCTCAATATGTTGATCTAACTTTTGCCGGTCACCATCAATGTACTCAGGCAATATGATGTTTGCATAGCCTGCAAGTTTTCGCCAGCTTTCTTCATCCATAGCTTTCAGCTCAATACCAGCAGACATCATCACTTGCATCCCTTGGCGAGCATTCTGTTTATCGTTGTTTAGAGAGGGCGAAGGGAGCTGCATGTCAACATCAACTCTGGACAACTGGCAAAGATTTACAGTGAGTTTAATTCCACGTGATAAGCAAAATAACTTGTAGAAATTGACCAGTTCTTGGGCGCACGCCTTCCTCTTCACTCTAGTTGATCTAAAGCAAGGCTGTTTATTCATGTACATCTCAATTTTCCCTCCTTTATTATCTCCTAAGAATTTCACATATTGTTTGAACTCTTCATCTTCAAGCATAAAATGCTCTGCATGGATTGTATTTTTCTTTTTACCCTGGAAACAATTTCCATATCTGGCGTGGAATATCAAGTCACCCATTCGGTCAGTCAACCGAACATACACTACAACAGTTCGGGCGCGAACTTTTGGATTCGAGCACAAACGCTTCGTCATCTTTAAATTCCCGACCTGACACTTCGACTTTTCCAGGCATTTAAAGCAAATTTTGTCTCTCTTTCTCTCAGTAACATGATAAAACATGGCGCAAAACTGTCCTTTTGTAACTACCAAAGAATTCTCCCCGCCAACTTTGTGATTATCTTTGTGATCATGAACAATGCTCATTCTATCGCACTCTTCTTTAATTTTGCACTGCATTGAAGTACAGTCACCTGGTGTATAAAGTTGTCGATTATCCATGAACTCCACTGTATTCCAGTCAATATATGATAATCAAGAAAGGACTTGTCTTCAAAATGTTTCGAGATATCTGCACTTACAGCAGCGACAACTGGTTCGAAACGCCTCGGGAACGATGCGGATGAAAGAACAGAAAAAAACAGTACTGAACACTTTCCTCTCGGACATTCGGTTAAATATACTGACATGATTATGTCATAACTCCCAGAAAAGACCCCCTTTTAGGGAAAACCGGCGATGACCTACTTTCCAAAAATAATCTCAGTGACACACATGTGGTTTGACTTAAGTTTTGTTTCCATTCGGGTCCAGCTCCTCATGTGAATTCACTGATCTCAAGGCAGCTAACTCTTTATACGTTTGTTGTAGTCGTGTGTTATTAAAACCCTGAACTCTGATTTTTTTTAATCTATTATATTTTCTTACTTTACTTTTGTTTGCATTAGGCCTTAAGCCTTATATGTGGTTATGTTTGGAGGTTTTTAGCATAACAGTAGAATGGCATAAAAAACAACATCATTCTCAATACAAGTTAGATTTGTTATGACATTAAACGCACTTCCAATTAACACCCGGAAACCGAATTAAGCTTTTTACTAACTTTCAGGTTCTCCAAGATTGAACGACCGCTAGAAAAAGACCTAAAGTGTATGAGTTTAAGGGAATTAACACTTCAAAGTTTGGCGTTATTTTCATTTAAACTTTTTCACTTTTTATGAAACACACGTGGAATACCAGCTAATACCTTAAATCTAAAAACAATTCCTCTCCTACTGGATTCTGCAGTTATTACAGAAAAATGATACTTTCGATCGTCCGTCACTAGGACCACCGTTCTCTTATTGACAAACTGCATCAGTGAAGATAATTAACATGTGGATGATTCGGTTGTCTAACCCCTTTATGGTATATTACGGACCGATGTACTCTGATATCAAAGTTTCCTTTCTTAACTTTAAATGGTTTACATACATAGCCCCATTGGGTACATATTTCTATAGTTCAGTTCAGTGCCACTCATAGATCGCTCTAAAAAATATTCTAACCGTTTGCAAACCTGTACAGCAGTGTGGCAGTCTGTATTCTCTTCATTTTCGAAGGGAAGTTGTCGATACGTTTGTCTAGCTTTTGTCGTGCGCTGTCTTGGTATTCTGGTAATTCAATGTCGGCAAATTCAGCAAGTTTCGTCCAAGTTTGTTGTGACATAGCAGTAACTCCAATACCAGAAGAAAGCAAGGTTTTAAGGCCCAGTTGAGCATTTGTAATGTCTTGTGCAAGAGAAATTTTATGCGGTACGTCCATGTCGACTTTGTACAACTGGCATAGATAGATCTGCAATTTTATGCTACCAGTCGAGCAATAAACACTAAATAAGTTAATCAATTTCTGTGTACAGTCTTTCACCTTGAGTGCTGTTTTCCTACCATACATAAATGAGAAATTTCTTTTTGTTTCCTCGCCTTTCAATGTTGCACTACAATCTGTGAAGACACAGAAATCCAGCATGGCGTGTTTCTGAAACGTGATAGAACATGCGACAGAAGTGAGTTTTATTAATTACAAGTGGATTGAAGCCTCCAACCTTATGGCTATCCTTGTGATCTCCAACCGTGCTTGCTTCATCGCACATCATTTCCTTTCCACCAGTTCCACAAAGCACCAAACCATTGGCGAAGAAATTGGAAAGTAATTTATAAGACTGTTTATCCTCGTCCATGTTGATAAAAATATCAGTACCGCATGTGACAAATAGCTGGAATAAGTGACTCTGGGGACGACTTCGGCCTACCATATAATATTGCGAGAAACTCGAACTGTTTCTAAATTCAGTCTCCATGTTCAGTTGTATTCTTGAACTAAATTCTTTCTTCATAGCGTTTACATCTTGTTCAATCAGACCTCATATAGCGTTATAGCCAATAACAAATCGGTTTACCTGTTCTTGGTCTCCTTCCAAGGTAAAAATCTCGACAGACTTATCTTCAATGTCCGAAACAACAAGATAGTTATTTGGGACAAAAGAAACGTCGTGAGGTTTACAAAGATCTTTATTCAGCTTTCTGAATAAAGATGGCCAGTTCCCATTGTTGTTTAGGGATTTCAGTTGCCTCTTTCTCGGATCTTTCGCGTAAAAACAATACAATTTTCTTGTCTTCTTAAAACAGCCACTTCCCCCTGATAAGACATTGCTATCCTGTCTCCTTCAAAATCTTGTAACACACACTGTGTAACATCCTATCCGCCATTATCGTCAATGTTTAACTACCTGTACAAGATTTCCGGCCATAATGCTGACGACTTTAACATTCAGGAGTCGACCTGAGCACTCAGCATTTATATTAGATGATGTTCGGGTTACAACTATCTTTAAATCAAGTTATGAAGGCCACCTTTTCAGTTGAACAACTTCGTGTAGGCAACAAAGATTTTGCCACTACGATCACTTCAGTGTAGCTCCCTCTTTCCCAGAAACAGGCGTCGTTTTCCAAGAATAGCACCGTGGCGTTACCTCAATGACCGGAAGTAATTTTTTTTCGCCACCCGTCAATGCCTCAAGTCAGAGATTTTAAGATACCACGAAGGCTACAGCGGTAAAAAGTCGCTTAAAATTGTATTCGCGTTCTTTCAGTCTTCATCGCGATTATTCCAAGTCGCTTGCTTGTCAAATGTTGGCGAACTCTCCTCAGGTTGAAGCCGTGCAGTGATCCGCCACGGCGAAGAAAATAATTTTCTGAAAAAAAGGGGCGATACATTCGTAAAAAAATTCAGGGGCGATCAGTCTTATTCACAAATATTAAATTCAGGGCTTCCTTTTTTTTTTGCATCAGTCTTATTCACGTCACTTTTTTTTTTTTTCTGATATCCGTTATGAAATATCTTCTTTCCCGTCAACTGTATTTTGCGTATTTGGCTGTATTTTTCACTTGGGTGAGGTGCTTGACACCGAAATTTAAGGCTCATGATCGAAAAATGGGCGTTAAGGAATTTCCAAGGATGACCAAAAAGGGATAAAATGGGTATATCTTGCGATTCTGTTTTAAATATACACTGGCGTTCGAAGCACGTAAAATACAACTAAGTACTTAACGTAACAGACACGTTACGGAATTTATTTTATGAATATTTTTAGAATCTTGGCGTGCAAGAATTTTTTTTCGTATTCGGAAAGCGTAATACGGCCAGTCAATAAGTTAATTAGCAAAATCAACAACTTTGCACGTGCACTTTATTGTTTTCTTAACATTTCTTTGCCATCACTGCACGACCATGCACGACGTGAAAATGCCTAATTTTACGTAATTGAGGACGTAAAAAAACAACGACGAACTTTTCCGCTATGAGTTTGCCTACATTTGACGAAATAAGTGCCTTGTAATAATCGCGAAAAAGTTTGAAAGAATGCGAATTCACTTTTTATTAAAAAGCGACGCTTTGACCGCTGTCCCCGTCTTGGTACCTTGAACTTGAGGCTTTGACGCGTGGCGGGAAAAAAATACTTCCGGTCACCGTACTACTACTACTAGTACTACTACTACTACTAATAATAATAATAAGTAATGGTAACAGGACTAAGTGGAGTCCAATTCGGTCTGTAATCATACGAGTGATTAACAAAATCGTGGGAGTCCGATTTGTTTAATCACGAGTATGATTACAGACCGAATTGGACGACACGAAGTTCTGTTACCAATTAATCGTAACTTTAACAAAATTTGTGACATAATAGGCAATTTTTAAATCAGACCACAAGAAATTCGAAATTTTGTTTCGCTAGCAGTGAAAAAAAGGGGCCATTTAAGCGCGCACTTGATGGCGCGTTCTGTCCTATTACTTAGGCATGACGCGTACTGTCCTATTAAACTGTCCAATTAAGGCTGAAATTAGGGCAGTTGATAGCCAATCAGATTTGACAATTTTCTTATAGTTATGATTATAATAATAATAATAATAATTTAATATTTATGTTGCGCAAAATACATGTAAATATGATCAAATGCGCATTACATGAAAGTATTATTGCAGAAATCACATTATAGTCCGAGTGGAAACGAGGAAACAAAAAATTGATAAAAGACTGAAAATACAACCTTGAATGTGTATGAAGGGAAAACAAGAGAGAAAGGTCTATCAGCAAATTTGTAAGCGTTTTCAGTTTCCGTAAGGCGGCCATTTTCTTTCGGGATTAAAGTTCGAGCCCTTGTACGTTTTTTTCTCTATTTTATAGTTTGTGTTTTGTTTTTTTAATCATTTTTTTACCTTTGGCTTGTTTCCCTTTATTCACTGCTGATCCTTTACAGCTTTGCATGGATTTTGCGATAACGTATTTCTAGTCAAAAATGGTATGAGAGCATGCTTGTACTCTGGAAGTACGAGAAGTGCCGTCTCATGCAGAAATGGTCAGAGATCTTTTCATTGCTTTGAGGGCAGTTAAGGATATAGAAAATCCCGTCGTAAGAGGAGAAATCTGCGGCTCTAATGGGATCAGTATCATTGGACCTTGTTTTTTTTTTGTTTGTTTGTTTGTTTTTTTCGACATTGGAACATTTTCATGCAGTGTTGCAAAAACTGATGCGAATGGTTAGGTCGATCAAGAGTGATGATTCAGAAGACTGGTGCAAGAGGCAGACCTCAAGTTCAAGATGTTTCGCGTACAGGATAAAAACAAACAATATTATTGCTGTTTTCTTTTTAGTTATTTTCATTCAATTATGCGATTTAAGGAAAAGCCATTACCTGAGTCGTGAATTCCGCGTTAAATTGCACTTGAAAACCGATATCGCGTTTTCGCGTGCAATTTAACGCGGAATTCCCTCGTCAGGTAATGAATTTTCCTATATGATGTACTATATTTTTTATATATATATTTCTTCCGTAATATATCAATTCCCAACTGTGAAATCAGCCTTGCTTCTTTCCGTTGTTCAGATAATGTAAAAGTAGGAACTTTTAGAGGTCTAATTTTGTTTAAGGCATCATGGAAAACAGCCTCCGAAAATGGGAACTTACAGTAACTTTTAACCGATAACAGCCTTCAGATTTCTGTGATCTTGATTTCCTTCAAGAGGATAACCGTTTCATTTAAATGATAGTTGGTTCATTATCAAAACAAGAACGAAATTTATACCTCCTCAGTAAAAATTTATACTAAAAATATGGGTCATTTTTTCTCGTGGAAGGATTTTTGAAAAACAAAAAAACCGACGGCGATGCCTTTACACCAACCGAAAATAAATGTTACAAGTTCATGGAAGAATCTGGAGTCCCCAAACCAATAAACATGAACCGACTGATGAGTGATCCGCGGCCCAACTTGTCCTTCATTGTTCCGAACTGTTGTTTTATTCATTTCTAAGTCTTTGTAACCTTCGTGGTTTCACTTTTTACCCAAAAAAACAAGTAGATAAAGATAATCTTTAGTGTCTAAAATATTTACTTCATTTTCTAATTTAGGGTAGCTAAGTTGTACAGGACGATACTGAAACACTTGAAAATGAGTGTCCTTCCTTCCTATTACAATCTTACGGACTAACTGGCAACTGGGTCCCGGACAGACTTTTAATCCCGGGGGGGTACTTTAGGAATTTCTGGGTGGGGATGTGCCGCTGGGACCCTAGAACCCTTAACCTATACCAGAGCTAGTTCAGCTGAATTTTGCTACCCTATACTAGAGTAAACTCCCCCAAATCCCCCTACACTAGAGTAGCTGTTTCCCCAGTCTAGATAAAATCTTCAACCAAATGATCAGTTTCCTGAAAAATGATACCCTATTCTAGACCCAAATGTTCTGATTTACATACCCTATCCTAGAGTAAATTCCTTGAAAACCATACCCTTCACAGCGGCACATACCTATATAGCCCATATATGGCAGTACTCCCCCCCCCCGCCGGGCTTTTAATCCCCTTACAGTCAAACCAGGTCAAGCGTTCCCGTCGCTAACAAACTAATGAATTCATTAATGGAAAAATGATTTCGTTTGTTGATTCAATAATCCATTCATAAAATGAATAATCCAACAGTCAAATTGGACCTCGATTCAATAATCAAATGTTGATTTGGTTTATGAACAAAATCTACCTGTTCTTTATTCTTGTCTGTTGTGTTCAATCGTATTTGCTTCCTTTTTCCTGCCGTTTACGATTGCGTTTTTCATTGCCTTTAATCAAAATAAGAGCTAGAATAGACAGACCGCAAACGCGAAGAAACTATAAGAAACTGACAAAGGCCGAGGATCGAAATCCACCAATCACCGCACATACACTGACCTTAGTTTGACCATTGTGTTTTCTAAGAGGTCAGGCCTAGGTCTGTTGCACTGATTACTGGCAGCAAACTGGCGTACATGTAACAGTTTGTTTGGGTTTGAACTTCAGAACTCGCCAGCACTCGACTCCCAGAAAAAAAAGAGGAAAAAACAAAATTCTGAGGTCAACTTGTGGAAAGTGTAGTTTTTCAAAAAACAGTAATCGAATCAACATTCGATTATGGAATCGAGGCTAAATATGAATATTGGATTGTTCATTTTATGAATGGATTATTGAATCAACAAACGCAATCATTTTTCCGTGAATGAATTCATTAGTTCGTTAGCGACGGGAACGCTTGACCTGGTTTGACTGTAAGTACCACTGGACGTTGTTTCTTGTTTTAGGTTCATCTTTGCTTTCATTACTGTCAGCTACTGTCATAATTAACTACAAGTTTTACAATCTTTTTATCGTTGGCCATGTTATTATAATATTAGATAAAGTTGTAAAACGTGATCGGCATAAAGAAAAGCGCCGAAGGGGTTATGAATTATTTTAATCCTCTTCTTCATCATCATCGTGATCAAAGTTAAAGATCTTTCTCTCACAATTTCTGTTTCCTTTCTCAAGCTCATCAAGATGATACTATTCATTATCTCTTCAGTCTAAACAATCACCAAATATATCCATTTCTTCATATTCTTCTTCTTCCATCCTCTTCTGTTTGTATTTGATCATCGCCGTTAAAATGAAAGCCACGGTATTTTCTCTCTTTATTTTTCTTATTCTTATATTCCTCTGTTAATATTGTTTTATAATTTTCTGGATCATAAAGGTAAAAATCATAATGAGAAAATAGTTCTCTTTTTCTATCTTGTTATTCAATCACTTTGATTCGTTAAAAAACGGGAAAAAACCCCTATCTATATCATTCTGCAAATCATCAAATATTCAACAAAGTCAAAACAAACTGGCAGATGCTGCCAATAGGGGATTTCCCTTGTAATGTAAAAATATTGAATGTGTTTATGCCGATTAAAATACTATTTTCCGTCATTTTCCCGGTTTTTCCCCTAAGCCCCGAAGGGACCGATGTTCTATTCTTTTAAATCTTAGCTATATTCACATTTTTTATTAATTTTATCGTTTTTATGAGTTTTATGAGTTTTTTTAAATTTATGCAATTAATGACAGACTTTAATTAGTCTGAATTTACGTATTAAAATGACAGAAATGAAACTGACAGACATTAAAGTCATAAAATTTAACTCCTTAAATTCAAATTAAGGGTAATGACAGAAAGTGGATGAAAGAAATAAACAGGAATGAAACGGACTAAATCTAAAAAATGGATGACGGGAAAAACCGGGAATATGACGGAAAATAGTATTTGAGAGTTGGTGCAGAGTCGGCATATTTACACTACTCCCTTACTGGGGTTACGGCTGGAGAACTGACGGAAAAAGTAGGTAGGCTTTATACCCTGGAGAAACTCCTCAATATGTTGATCTAACTTTTGCCGGTCACCATCAATGTACTCAGGCAATATGATGTTTGCATAGCCTGCAAGTTTTCGCCAGCTTTCTTCATTCATAGCTTTGAGCTCAATACCAGCAGACATCATCATTTGCATCCCTTGGCGAGCATTCTGAATATCGTTGTTTAGAGAGGGCGAAGGGGGCTGCATGTTAACATCAACTCTGGACAACTGGCAAAGATTTACAGTGAGTTTAATTCCATGTGATGAAATTGCACTGCAGAAAGTGTATGAATTTAATGGCATTAACACTTCTCAAACTCATTAATAATTCATAAAGAAAATACAAAGAAAATTAATGTTTAATGAGTGTTTGGAAATCGGATGAAAAACTGCTCAGTATTTGCATCCTTAATTTCTCCTTCAAAAATGATTTTGTTTGAGAAGAAATATCAAACATTCGACACAGTGTTTCATCACCAGATGAAACACCTCGAAGTTCGTCAAAAATACTCCGCTGCGCGTCGTATTTTCAACTCTCTTCTCGGTGTTTCATCTGGTGATGAAACACTGCGTCTCATGTTTGATATATTACTTCAAAGTTTGGCGTTATTTTCATTTAAACTTTTTCACTTTTTATGAAACACACGTGGAATACCTTAAATCTAAACAAAGATCCTCTCCCACTCGATTCTGCAGTTATTACAGAAAAATGATTCTTTCAATCGTCCGTCACTAGGAACACCGTTCTCTTTTTGGCAAACTGCATCAGTGAAGATAATTAACATGTGGATGATTCGGTTTTATTGACTTGGTTAACTAATTGAATCTTGACTATACTAAGCGTTTAAAACAGGGACTTTGTCTAACCCTCGGTCCTTTATGGTATGTTACTGATGTACTCTGATATCAAAGTTTCCTTTCTTAACTTTACATCGTTTACATACATAGCCCCATTGGGTACATATTTCTATAGTTCAGTTCAGTGCCACTCATAGATCGATCTAAAAAATATTCTGACCGTTTGCAAACCTGTACAGCAGTGTTCTCGAAAGGAAGTTGTCGATATGTTTATCTAGCTTTTGTCGTATTTTGGTAATTCAATGTCGGCAAATTCAGCAAGTTTCGTCCAACTTTCTTGTGATATAGCAATAAATTCAATACCAGAAGAAAGCAAGGTTTTCAGGCCCAGTTGAGCATTTATGATGTCTTGTGCAAGCGAAATTTCATGTGGTACGTCCATGTCGACTTTGTACAACTGGCATAGATAGATCTGCAATTTATTATGCTACCCGTCGAGCAATAAAAATTAAAGAAGTTGATCAATTCCTGTGTCTTGAGTGCTGTTTTCCTACCATGACTTGTTGACATACTGCAAGCCAGGTTGTTTGTTCATACACATAGTAATATTTTCTCCCATACGATCTCTTAGGAACTTAACAGCTTGTCTGAACTCTTCATCAACCAGCATAAAGTATGCAGCATGAGCTGTATTTGGATTTGAACCTTCGTAACAGTTTCCATATCTTGCATGAAATATCAATCGCCCATTTTTGTCCTCATACATAAATGAGAAATTTCTTTTTATTTCCTCGCTTTTCAATGTTGCACTCCAATCTGTGAAGACATAGAAATCCAGCATGGCGTGTTTCTGAGACGTGATAGAACATGCGACAGAAGTGAGCTTTAGTAATTACAAGTGGATTGAACTCTCCAACCTTATGGCTATCCTTGTGATCTCCAACCGTGCTTGCTTCATCGCACATCATTTTCTTTTCATCAGTTCCACAAAGCACCAAACCATTAGCCTGAGTATCAGGCGTTTCTGGGGAAAAGGGGAAAAATGGAAGCGAAAAAGGAAGAGAGGTGAAGGAAAGAAACGCCTGACACAGATGCTTTTACTGGAGCCTTCCACCCTCACACAGCATGATTCGATACCATCCAATCAAAATCACTTCCGGTCATTGGGTTGTCAGCTTCACGTGTCAAAAAGCTCGCCTAAAATAAATCTCACTTAAAGGTCGGGCCGTTCTCCGGTGCTTGTGTTGCTACGGGGCGCTTTCCATTTACTCAAAATTTCCGGAATTTCCGGTTCGGTGGTAAATGGAACACGTTTCGTCAGTTCGTCCCACTGGAAAATTCCCAGAAAAAGTGGAAAATCTAAAAAGGTGGTCCCGTTTTCCCGGTTGGAATTTCCGAACGGAATCTCGTGTTCCATTTACGTTTCTCGTAGTTTGTACCAGTTCCAGTTCCACGGTCGGGCACCGCCACGTACCGGGGTTTACGACCAAATGGAACAACTTTTTACCAATCGGAAATTCCACTTTTGCTACCACCAAAATTTCCGGGTTTTTTTCCTGAATGGAAAGCGCCCATGATTTCGCTTTTTTCTGAAACCTCCAATGAGAAGTTTTCGAATACTTGTAATGTAAAACCTGCCGTTTATGAGGAATTATAACAAGGTTTAGGAATTGTGCTAGTGTAAGATCGCCAACGCTCTGTTTGTAAACAAACGTGTGCCCGAAAAATTGTAAATTGCTTTTGTTTACAGAGTTAAATCAGGCGCTTGTCTGGCAGCTAAAAAGCTGGTGTTATCCCTCGTATTCTCGGGTGGTTGAAAGGAGCTGTAAGAATATATAGGAAGTTCGATAGTGACACACCTATGCCTAGAAATTATCAAGCGGCAGCAGATTCCACCACTTCACAGAGAGCTCGTGAAAGCTGTTACAAGTTCAAAACAAGTGAGAGCCTATAGCAAAGGTCAATCCCGTTGGCGAAATATGATGGCGCTCGCTTGAGCTTAAGACATTTCAAAAGTGAGAAGATTTTGGAAGAGGAAGCGAACGAATTCCAATCACGTACGTTATCGTAACCGCAACAAGCAAAGTCAAGCTTTTTAAAAGCATTGGTGCTGTCGGCTATCCCCGCGGCTATCTCAATACATGGCTACCTCGCTCTATTTTCATTTACAGTAACAATACCCTTTTAACGGCAGGATGTTGTAAATCTGAACTTAGATATCTGAAACAGTGATATAGTCTTCTTTGTCCCGGTCTTGTGAAACCAATACTTGGACATAGTTTCGGCCGAAGATGGTATATGAGGCTTTTCCTTACTTCGAGTACATGTTTCCTTTAAACTACGAGGCCTTGAAAACACAATTCTTGCTCGGGTTTTATTTTTATTCCAGGAAAGAACTTGAGAGCGCCCTCTAGAGCCTTTTTGAATTCCTCTCTGCGTCTCTGTCTGTCTGTAAAAGCATCACATACCGGTAACATGAAATCAAAACATCTATCAAAAATTTCAATGACCGTCTCCTTGCCGATCGCTCTTGCGGTCGGTGACGTCAGGGGGTATTGTGTGTTATCCAATAACTGCCACATCCAGATTTTGGATGTGTCACACGATTTGCTGAATGGTTTTGTGTCAGGCCTTCCTTTCTCTTCTCCCCCTCCCCCGTCCCCCATCTAAAATCTCCTCTCCCCTAGCCCCGTAGGAAGGCCTGATACTCAGGCTACCAAATCATTGGCGAAGAAATTGGAAAGTAATTTATTATAAGACTTTGTTTATCCTAGTCCATGTTGATAAAAATATCAGTACCGCATGTGACAAATAGCTGGAATAAGTGACTCAGGGGACTCCGGCCTACCATATAAATATTGTGAGAATTAAAACTCGACATGTTTCTAAATTCAGTCACCATGTTCAGTTGTATTCTTGAACTAAATTCTTTCTTTATAGCGTTTACATCTTGTACAATCTGACCTCATATAGCGTTATAGCCAATAACAGATCGGTTTAACAGTTCTTGGTCTCCTTCCAAGGTAAAAATCTTGACAGACTTATCTTCAATGTCCGAAACAACAAGATAGTTATTTGGGGCAAAACAAACGTCGTGAGGTTTACAAAGATCTTTATTCAGCTTTCTGAATAAAGATGGCCACCCATTGTTGTTCAGGGATTTCAGTTGCCTCTTTCGCATACAAAAGAATGCAATTTTCTTGTCTTCTTAAAACAGCCAGTTGCCCCTGATAAGACATTGTTATCCTGTCTCCTTCAAAAGCTTGTAACATCCTATCCGCTGTTATCGTCAATGTTTAACTACCTGCGCGAGATTTCCGGCCATAATGCTGACGACTTTGACATTCAGGAGTCGACCTGAGCACTCAGCATTTAGATAAGATGATGTTCGAGCTCGAGTTACATTTATCTTTAAATCAAGTTATTAAGGCCACCATTTCAGTTGAACAGCTCAATGTAGCAGACAAAAATTTTGCCACTACGATCACCTCAATGTAGCTCCCTATTTTCTCGGAAACAGGCGTCATTTTCCAAGAATAGCATCGTGGCGTGATCCCTGTCAGTGTGGGTACTAGTCGAAATCACGTTGTCAAGTAGTCTGCTACACAGCCGTTTTTAGTGTCGTCACGCAACGCTTCTCCCCACAAATTATTGACTGATTATTGCATTATTGACTGAACGGTTCCATGTAAATCGTTCAGAGTCTCTCTGGGATAGAATAGAGTGAACAAGAAAAAACTGGTACAAGCATTCCAGTGCATATTTCGTACTGTGCGTACTTGGACTGCCTCATTATCCTCGACCCATCCCCTTCTTTAATTGCATCAAGGAAATTGAAGAAAAGAAATCCATCTGTCAGCAAAGCACAGTTATAGTTAAATACATCATCCTCTGGTTTTGATTCACCTTGGGGAGGATTAGGGGTTGATGAGGTGAAGTCATTTACCTCATCTTCCACCTGAACTGGAGGGTCATGTGCTAACTCATGAGCCTTCTTGACTTTCCATTATACTTGAATGACCTCTCGCATCCAGGGAACCGGCATGGAAACCTCCCATCGGGTGTCAGTTGCTGATGGTTAAGAACTTCATCCCTTTCTTGTTGAGTGACCACACGATTCACAAGGTCATTCACGTTCGAAGCATGTTGAAAAACAAATTCATCAACTACCTTTGCTGACATTTCAAGCAGACAATCTAGCTTTTCTGCCTTCTTCATTGAATTTAAGTTCGTGGGCAAGCTATGGTTTGAGGGGGCTTCTGCCTTGTTCTCAAAGCCTAACACCTTCATGGCAGCAACAATTACCCTTGATGTAAACACAACTGAAAAAAAGTCTCTGTTGCTCGGTACGAAGAGTGGGTATCACTTGTTACATTCCTTCTGTTTATTAGGGTGCGATCAGCAAACATGGTGCAGACGTCTACACCAGATTTTCCACTAAAGAATCTAGAGTAGATTAACTGTTGAAAACAAACAAACAAAAAAACAATATGAATTTGCAGTGATTTCGCTGTAAGCTAAAAATTTTAATTTTCCTATAATTTTTTTTTATGATAGGGATCTAAAAATACAACACTAGACAATTCAACAAAATTGAAAATATACCCTCCAAAAAGGAAGATGAAGAGAGTGGATATCCAGTTCATGAGTTACAAATGTATGATTCAAGATTATCTGAATCATGGTGCACCAGATGTACCAGTAAATTAATCCGTCTTAACAGAATAAATTATTTTATTCTTTAATCTTCCATGATCTGAGTGATCTAGTATCACTCATTCTATGCATTGTAAAAAAAAGGTGTTTCAACGGTGTTTCCATACAGTGGGTGGTCACAAGAGAGGTTAATCAGAGCATTACATTTACAGCATTTTGCTGACTAGGAAATTTATGAACATCAAACTAGTAATATTTTAGGCATAATACAATCATAAACATACACTTAGCACTTTAACAGCTGCATGCCAGTCCCCCAATTGGACATTGATGCCTTCCAAGCGGTCCTTTGGGGTGTAGCCATTTGCCACTGAGGAAATCACATTCACAGCCCTTTCAACAGTGAGCTGGTCACCAGAAAATATCTGACCATCCACACCACCATCACTTGTTTGCAGGAGGTAGGAATGGAATTGTTGAAGTATTGACATCATGTCTTCATTTACATTTTCATTCTTGAAAATAATTCCCAGGGGAACCTGACCAAAACAATAATAAATAAATTATTTATAGAGATAAAAAAATACCATAGATAAAATATATTAGTATATGATGTCACAAACTCAAGAATTTTGAGGGGAGGGTTGCTGATCCCACATTTCCTGCTTCTTTCAAATTTATGTCATTTCTAATCCAAATGTTGTTTTCTTCCCTTAATGCAACATCTTTGCCCAAATTTTTTGCCACCTGGTATATAATTTTCTGCAACACCATTTTGAACCAGAGGTGAAATCCTAACAAACATGTAGAGCTCTTATTGAAATTGTTCGAAACATTGACAGCAAGACTATACTTGGAAAGGTTTCAGAGATTAAGAGAAAACATTTGTTGGTTTCCACTGGACTTGACTTATGGATACATAAAGTGTATAAAAATAATAAGCATTCAGATGGTTAGTCAGCCTTTTGAATAAATAATATTTGGATAACAATGTCACAATTTATTCAACTAGTAATTAATAACCTTTTTTGACTTCTTTGACATTTCTTCAGTATATTTGTGGGGAATATGATAGATGCATGCTTCCTTTAAAGGCTTCAAAACATCAAAGTATTCCACTAAAAACCGTGCTGTTAAAATCAGGTAATTGGACCTTTGCCGTTGCTGGTCTTCAATAGTTGGTAAAAACTGCAGGTTTGACAACTCCTGAAGATTGGCTTTTGGTTGTTTGGAGTCAAGGAGTGCTCCAGACACCCTGTTCTCAATCATTTGGTGGTTCACCCAATGAAAGTCACGGTTTTGCGATTGCATTGTCATACTCTTTCGCTGTAGCTGGAAGTCCAAATTGCCAAATGAAATAACAAATCCAGGGTGTGCAGCTTTCTTGAATTCATACTCCTCCATCCTGACTTTAGTTTGCTCTTGGCGGCACTCTGCTGTGCACGTTTGATGGGATTCATGTTGCATCCAAATATTTTTATGCTTCTCTTGAATCTCTATCGCTTTGGAGTTTTCTTGAGAAATTGTGTCCCTTGCTTTCAAAAGGAGGGCATCATGATCACCCCCAAGTTTGTCCAACGTGTAAAGAATCTGACTGTTTGAATTTGTCACCTTCAGTCTGTTGAGCCTACCGAGGGTTGCCTGTGACACAAAGAACGACCTATGTTAGAAATTTCATAATACATTTTAAATAGATCTCTTTTATATGAAGATTTTTTTTTTAGTTCATGATTAATAGCATCTTTTAAAACAAAAATTTCTTAAATACCACGATTATTTTTATCATTCAGAGAATAAAGCAGTTTTATGACGTTATTGTGTGTATTGTTTTATCAAATACAGATTGACCTCAAATAATAAATGTCCAGTAATTTAGCTTGAACAATTTCAGATACGTATGACACGAAATAAAAGTGAATAAAAAGTATAAAAAGTAAAATAAGCTCAAGATCAATAAAACGAATCGCACCTCAACAGACTTGCTTTTCAGGAGAATACCTATCACAGATGCAGCAGCGCTCATGTCCTTGTTTCGCTGTTTCAACAGAATTGATCCTGCGATAGCCAAGCTTCCAAACCAGTCGAAAGATTTCGTTCTTTTATTGATAGCCGAAGTGAGAAGGAATGAATAAAAAACGGGAGCTCGTTCACGCCACTCATCACAAACTAACTGTAGGTCAAACTTCTCCAAATCTTTCTTTTCAATTTTCCTTAAAATTGATGGCTTTCTTGTTGAACATAATTCGGCAACTTCTTTGTTGACGATCTTCAACACCTTTTCCACAATATACTTTCGCACTGAATGGCAGTTCATAACAGCTCCCGCAATTTGTGACGGAACGCCATGTGCTAACGCTTTTCCAATGGACTGATATGAACCAGTTAGAGATTTGTTTACATTTTTACTGGGATACTGAAGTTTTAGTTGCACTTGACTCTGTTCTTGGACGCCGGATGATCTTGGAGTTGAAGTCACTCCGGGAAGAAATGCATGTGCACTTCGAGGACTTGCCATATTTTGACTTGGGAAAGCACTCAACAGAAGATTCGGCTGACTTTGAATTGGGGATAAAAAACCAGGAAGGTAAGCAGGCACAGGCCGTTTCCATGAAGAAAAATCCTGATAACTCGAATTAGCAGAAGAAGTGCAAGTGGTAGCTTCGCCTGTGCCAAACTGAAGCGATTTGGATACTTTCTGTCGACTTAAACTTTCCTGTGTCCGCGACATATCGCGGACCTGGTCCTGATGGTTTCCTTCAGGAATGTTGCCATGTAATTCTTCTGAAGCCCTTTGAAGGCGCTTTGTTCTCGGTACATCCCTTTTCTTGAAGGCTTCTTCAATTTCTTGGCGAATTTCGTTCAGTTTTTCAGAAGATCGCTTAAACTTCGTCAAACGTTTGTAGCAACTCTTGCAAACAAATATCTTGCCGCTGTTCGCGAAACAGCTCACGTCCACATTAAGGGACGATTTAATAATCCCTTGCAAGTCGATCGAACTTTTATCAAAAATATAAATTTTCTCTGCATTTGCTGACGGCGAAGGGCAAGTAAAGCATTTCGAATCACTGTCGACAATTTTTTTAGGGGTTCCGCCGTCCATGACTTGCTGGAAAGCATGTTCATATCCTCGCGCCCGGAATCGCGTGGCTTTACCCGCGAAAACTGACGTCACAGTCAATATCTAGATACGTGATTGGTTTGTTCGTTAGACCGCAAACACAAAGGGAAAGGAATGTGGTTCGGTTTTCAGCAGCCGTTTGTGGGGAGGAGCGTTGCGTGACGACACTAAAAACGGCTGTGTAGCAGACTAGTTGTCAAGTGGAAACGGAAGAAATGAAAAATTAACAAAAGACTGAAAATACAGCCTTGAATCAGTATATGAAGAGAAAATGCGCAAGTTTGTAACCGTTTTCAGTTCACTTCGGCAATCCGGAACGCGGCCATAGTATGAGAGGATGATTCTACTGGAAGTACCGTCTTATGCAGAGGGCTATACCGCATTAAACATTTCGTAAGAGGAGTATACAGAGGCTTTAAAAGGATATGATTGCACCCCTAAATCTCGCAGCTCTTTTGTTTTTAAGGGCTAAGTTAGGCCTTGTTACACCTGCGAAACGCCTCTGGTGTGTACTCGCCAAATCAGCGTTTGTATCCCGCATCAGACTTTGTTTTGTTTAAATCGAAGTTTTGTGACGTTGCACAAAACACAATGCGAATGGTATTGTAGATCATGAGTGATAATGCTGGCTACAAGTTCAAGATGCTTCGGGGGGAAGGGGGTGGAAGGGGTCTTAAACTTTAGCCTGTTAAACTGGGTTCAGCCCCATGGCAGACCAGGGAGGTTCTGCAAATTGCGTCATGTGTTAAAAGGCGGCCAAGTTGCTCAATTATTTTGCAAAAGGCGAGGCATTGTTTCCCTTTCAATCTATCGGACGACTTACTATCAATACTTCTTGTAATGTAACGTAGTTGTTTTTGGAAGTCTATTTTTTGTAGGGCACAACTAGAAGTAAGCAGCCGAAAATAGGAACTGTGAGTAACTTTCATTCGATGACAGCCTTCAATTTTCTGTGATATTGATTTCCTTCAAGAGGATAGTAATCGTTTCGTTTAAATTCTAGTTCATGCATTACCAAAACAAGGACGGAATTTAGTTTCCCTTAGCGAAATTTTACGCTGAATATATATCTGAGCCCCCGCGAAAGGATTTTTAAAGAAGACGGACGGTAATGCCACAAGAGGGAGCCACGTGCTTATTTTATGCCCAAAGGTCAGGGCTAGGGTTTTGTCCCGGCCTATAGACTAATTGAAAATAAATGCTACTTGTTGATGAAAGGATCTGGAGTTCCCATACAAGAGAACATGAATCAACTCTTTAGTTTATTTCTGCGTCTTTATAACCTTCATGGCTTTCACTTTTTACCCCCCAAAATAGATAAAATAATCACTAATGTCTTCAATATTTTCTTCATATTCTTATAAAGATAGCTGAACAGTACAGGACGGGGAAACTTTAAAGTGGGTGTTCCCATCTTTGGGCCACCTGTTTTCTTTTGTTGCACGTAAATGATATAAACGACGTATCGAAACTTGTCGAACTGATTTTATTCACTGACACTTACTGATTCATGTCCCATAAAGATCCTACCTGCCTGGCAAACTCGCTTAATTTCGAACTTAATATTAAATCATTCTCCAGTGGAAATATACGTAAAAAAACAAAATCGAACAGGTTAAGGAAACGGTCTTTCTCAGAGTAGTCCTTGACGAACATTTGTCTTGGAAACCTCACATTTCTCGAGTTGCTTGTAAAATCTCTAAATCAGTAGGAGTCACTTAGGCTCGGTTCAGACGCCGAACTTTTCATGAGCCGAACCTAATTCGAACTAAGGCCGACCCAAATTATTTAGACCGGTTCAATTGATTCAGACGCCGATCGTAATTCCAGCCGAACTAAACTCAAAAGGAGAAAAATGCTCATTTCGGTCAAACTACTTACAAAATACGTTATAATAATTTACGTATTAGTTTCGGTACATGAAACGTTCGGCGTCTGAATCAAAGCCGTTCCAAAATCGCTCCAAAGGCGAAATTCCCGGCTGGGCCAGGCCAAAAGAACGGCTTAGCCGTTCCAAGAAACAGGCGTTCCTAACTGACTCAGACGCCGAACTTTTCATGTACTTAATTTAATGTATTAGGTTCGGCTCATGAAACTTTCGGCGTCTGAACTGGGCCTTAGAGAGCAGGATTTTTTTCTACCTAAACGCTGTGTAAAAACTCTTTATTCTTGTTTAGTTCATCCTTATTGTCATTATTGTATTATTGTCTGGTGATCTACCTACAAAACCAATCTTCGTCGTCTTGTCTTTTTGCAAAAGCGAGTTGTCTGATCTCCTAAGAATTTGACAGCTTGTCTAAACTCTTCATCTACCAGCATAAAAATTCATACTCTACATGAACTGTTTTCTTATTTTACCCTGGAAACAAATTCCATATCTGGCGCGAAATACCAAGCGACCCACTCGGTCAATCAACCGAACATACAATACAACAGTTCGCGCGTAGAAAGCTTTTGAATTCGAGTGCGGCCTCGTCATCTTCGAATTCCCAACCCGATACTTACACTTTTTCAGGCACTTTAAACTAATTTTATCTCTCTTTCTCTCCTTGACGTGATAAAGCATGGTGCAAAACTGCCATTTTGTATCTGCCAAAGGATTCCGCCCTCCAACTTTGGGATTGTCTTTGTGATCATAGACAATGCTCGTTTTATCCTGCAGTTTTTGTGGTTTCAGTTGCTTGAAACTGAAATCTACTTCGTCATCATGCAGTGTCAGTCTCTTCCTCAGGCGCTTTGTTTTTTGCAAGGTAGAGGCGAGCGACTGGTAATGAACCGCAAGGGACCATGGGAAGGGTACAGACGGCAGGCGTTGTTTCCTTCCCGCCTTCCTTTGCGCGCACATTTTCAGAGAGAGAGAGACTTCTGGGTACGAGGCAGAGGCTGTGTAAGTAAGTCAGTAATTCGGGGTGACCGACGAAAAGTGTTTCGTAGTTTTTGACCATCTTCGCTCGATTTCGTATTATTGTCGGTTTAATATTGCTCTATTTACAGTGATTTTGTGCTATTTTGCAATGGCAAGGAGAGACAAATTTCGAACAATGTGTAGGTTGTTTTTTCCTAAAAGTTTTTCCGGATTTTTTTTGACGCATTCTGCAATTTTTCAAACGAAATGGCCATCCCTGAATCAAAGCGTTCGTTTGGCTTTCGTGATGGTCGAGCGACTTGGGCAGTTCAGCAGCACCTTCTGCATCATTTTTCAAATGACACTTATCTTACAAGACAGAAATTACTCCCTTTTGGGAGCAAATAATGTCCTTATGGACACAAATAGCTGCCTTATTGGAACAAAACTTAATTGCCTTTCGAGACACAAATAATTGGCATATCCTAAAATCTGCCGGACTGGACCCTGGACTCTGGGCTTACCCCCCCCCGAAAAAATTTCTCTGGACCCTGGAATCAACCCCCCCCCCCCGAAAAAATTACCTCCCCCGCCCCCACCACCTTTTAAAACTTTGTAGAAAAAGAAAGAGAAATAATGATTTTAACTCTAGCCCAAGGGCCGTAGACGTATCGCTGTGCTTGTAGGTGGAATTGATTTCAAACATTTAAGAGCAAGAAAAAGGCCTTTTTTGCACGTGAGACATAAAATGTTAGGTGATTTGAAACGCGTACACAAAAAAATTGTTTACGGACATTCAGTTCAACCTACAAGTTTTTTTTCAGTCTGTTTGGTTTGTTTCTTGCCTGTGTGCTAGTACTTAAAGTACAGACTAGGAGACGAATGAATGCTTTACAGTTTCAAAACCAAGTAATGCAACATCAATCCTTCTCTCAAAGTTGACACATAAAAAGCTGATTTGAAAAGTGTGCACTAAAAACTTTGACAAATTTGCTTTTATATAGGTCAAAAACTATCAGGCTTTCTTCGAAGTTTTGTCGCTTCAAATACCAGTAAAAGATTTTTCGACATTTGAGTTCACACTGCCATAACAAAACATGTTCGTCTAACAACTAGATATTCGTTTCCATAGTTATTGCTGAATATTTTCTACTCAACACATACTAGTTGTCCTTTAATTTTCATAACATTTGATAAAAAACAGTTGTTTTAAATTATAGTGTGATGTCATTACTCTCATTGTCTCTTCTACATTTTAGGTTGCCATCAGTTATCTATTTCAATTGCAAGATTACACCCCAGTCAAATGATGTGTTTCAAGCAAATCAGTTTGCCTTAAGCACCTAGCAAAAAAAAAAGCATTTCAACCTCTGTCAAATTGTACAACAATAGCCACATGGATAATACCCATGCCTATTGTTTTACATATGCACAAGAGGGAGTCGATAAAGCAGACAAAAAACCTACAGTAGTTACAACAGTCACATTCAATTGATTGATATTGGAAGAAAACCCTCTTGCTTTTGTTACAATCACTTTTTTCAGGGTCACTCCAACACAATCAATAATAATTATCGTCGCTGAAACCACATGCGCTCCATCGGGCGTCTATTTTTTAAACTTGCACTGCCAACTCCACTGTATTCCAATCAATGGTAATCAAAAAGGGACTTGTATTTTAAACTGAACGTGATTTAAGAAACATGAGTCTAAACCCCTCTGCAAAGAAACTAACCACTGACAGTACAAACTACGGCCTGAAAAG